GCCGTTTTCAAACATTCTTCGGCCCAAGCGTTTCGTTTTTCCCCACGTAGTGATTGCGTGTTATATAGCGATTTCGGCGATACCTTCATCTACCTCCCAGACGTTGACTGAAGATATCAGTAATTGTGATTGGAAAGTTTTGTTAATTTATGCGGCTGGTTTGAATATAAAATCCTGGTATGAGAGGATGCGATGTGTGGTGGCAGCACACTAGAAAAAACGAGTGAGTGTGATGTCCCGAACCGGTTTAGAGAGAAAAATAAAAAGACATGGAACTGCTTGGATTAATCCCCCGTTCTTCATTTCATTAGACTAGCAGCTTATATCGAAAATTCCAGAATAAATGACATTGTTCAGCATTTATAACTGAATTATTAAGGGACCATTGAAAAGCTTTTGTTCGCACCATAACACTAGCTTGTAAAGCTTTCCTTTGTCAGGATTAAAGTTTACGTTACAGCTAAATTTGCGACCACTGGATACATGCTTACATTCCGCGTGCCAAGTTTTGTTTTTCTCATGCAGTATTTAACTAACCTTTAGTTGAGCAAAAGCCATATAACTTTCTTCTGGCACATTCAAAGCTGGATTATGTTCCGTCAGCGGAGCCGTTTTCTGTCCCGTTCCATTCGTACCAATCTTGATACCTAACTGGCGCTCCAAAATCTCCTCGTTGGATGGTGTTTTCTGAGCACCTGTTGCACCGACTGACTGATCTGGAGGTACCCACGATTGTTCCTCGGTCGGATCCTCTTCATTCACCAGCTTTGATCGATTCTTGGTGGTTCGGCCAAGCAGTGTTTTCGCCATTTTATCTTTGACTAGTTTGAAATACATACTCTCTTGATCCCCTTCGTATGTGAAATGCAGTTGGGTGGCGGTGAACAGCGCGAATGCCATAAATACAGAATAGGTGGCAAAACACACCATATAGTTCCGCTCACGATAACCCGGTTGCAAGCACGGGTAATCGGGAAACACACTGGCATTGTCCAAAGCCAAACCGATACAGAACATGGCCAAACTCCAACCGATCGAACCGAATGTGCGCTGTTGTCCGTGCAGTGAACTGGGTTGAACATGGATCTTGTCCGCGACAAGAGCATCGACCAGTGGGATAGCTGGACAGGATAGTAGTTCGCCAAACAAGACAAGCAATAGGATGAGAATGAAAATCTGGTTGATTTTAGTCTGACTATAGACCACGGTTGAATAGAGTGGCATGACCAAACTTCCCGGAGGATAGTGTACCGGATCGTGATAGGCCGGAGCGGAATTGAACAAACGCNCTGAGACGTTCCGATTTTCGTGGTTTGGGTGGATCTACCAGTAGTTTCGTATTCAAATACAACGGAGTTTGACCAATTTTGTTTTTGATGTTCAAAGCTAAATTTCTTGTCATGTCCACTGATTTTAAATCGTCGTATTTTGATGCTCGATATGGGCCAACAATACTCAGTGCAAGACCACCGGTCTCTTCCAACCATGTCTGATTTTCACCGTACTCCGAATAGTAGTATGGCAGTTGAACCAAACAACCTTCAGGTGAGGGTCGAACAAAACCCAAACCTAGCGTGAATGACATGGAACAAACCAAACTAGCGATCAGGAAGGTTTTTGCTTTTTTCCACTTCTCAGCCAGTGCATTCCAGAACGGAGTTGCCAAGCACTCGACAAACGAACGTATCCCGCCAAGAATCCCGCATTGAATCGCACTCAATCCGAGTTGTTTGAAGTAGATTGAGATCAGCGGAAACAGTGATCCGAATGCGGCAAAGAAGAAAAAATAGAACAATTGAATGATCAACAACGATCGATCGAAGTGTGATTTGACCCACTCCAGCACTCCACGAAATGAGCCGGAGATTGAGTGAGATTTTCCAATGGTTTCATCGTGCCCACCAGCGTCCACATTTGTAAAACCTTGGCTGGCCATGGGAGTGGATTGTCTGAAAGAATACAAACGATTGGAGAGGAGAGAAACAATGTTGAAGTGTGTCGCCTTAAAGATTAACGTTTGTAGATTGAATAAGTATTAAGTTGTATCCCTTATACCGCACAAAGTAAAAGCTCAAGTCTTAATTTTCAGCTCACAGCCACTAGTGAAATGTGGTGAGGGGTTAATGATATGGGCTGCAACTGGACATCATAATGATGCATTCTCTTCACAGTAATCCCTCACTCCATTCAGCCCATCCTACAGTCAAGAAGCACCATTCGCGTCGTTCTTTCTTATTAGATGACTCTTTCAAGTCGACGGGACAGCGACCGACTGAACGTTTCAGCAGAGAACACCTAAAAAAATTACCTCGCTAAATTTGGCCTGTCATGATGTGAACTGGTTGATACAATGGTAAAAATATCCGAATTTACCATCAATATCCATTGTGAGAAAACACAAAGTGATGAACAAACTCGTTTGCGGTGATTCTTCTACAGGCTAATACATCACAATTTATATCAAACTGTTTGGAAGGAGGATAAATCAAGACAAGTTAGAAAGATAATCAACACTCCAGTTCCATGACCGATATGCCGATATGGTGACACCTAAGCTCATTACAGTTGTAGAAAAAGCGTTCCCCGCAGCAAAACTGCATACTATGTTCAACTCCAGACCGCTTCTATGCTTTTAACTCAAAGATAAATTGGCTTTTTCTGCCGTCTCTTTCTGTGTGTACTTATTTACCTGTTCCTGTGGAGCAAGGTACATCGGCTGCACGAGTAGACGTTTATCTGAAGGAGTCCGTGAGCGGCACCCGGCCTGGTTGAGCAGTGTAGTAATTAGGACCATTAACAGCTCAATCATTTCACACCTAGTGGAATCAAACCACGTAGTGAATGTGGACGAGGCGTTTCGACCCCTCTACTTGGTTTGCAC